ATAAAGAGAGAGAACGCGCGCGCGCGCACGGTGTATCGCGGTTAAGAAGGGTACGCGCATAAAGGGCCATTAGTTAATTAACTCCTAATTATCTGGCGACGGAGAAGCGAGTGCATAATCGTCAGCGGCATTCGCCGTGCTGCGCACCGCACCGGCAGCGTGCGAAAAGGCAGAGACAGTACCGTAACCACGAGTCGTTGCGCCCGGGCGCCAAACAATCGCCCGCCACCCGTTGATTGCATAGACCCTCGGAACATCATTCCCCGGCCCTTACGTCCCTTCGTTTCTTTTTTTTCTCTCCCTATTCGTCGGCAGAAACTCATCCCTCCCCCTCCCCCCCCGCCTTCGCCGTGATCCTCACCCACGCCTGCATCATCCCGCGCTCATTTCCTTTCAAACCGCCGTCCACGCCGACGTGTCTCCTCCCCGCCCCTTCGAGGGCCCCAGAAAAACCGCTCGGATCTCGCATCGCAGTCTCTCCTCCCTTGCAGCGGGGGTTGCGGCGGAAACCGACTGACTCCTCTCTTCGTGGTTCCTCCTCCTATCTTTTCGTACTACAAGACCTGACCATTCTTCTCTCAAAACCTGTTTCGTGTGTCTGTGTTGTTATTAGTATCCATGCGCGCGATATACTATGTTTCCTTTGTGTTATCCTCATGGCTGGACAGTTTATTACCGCTGTTACAACTCGGCGACTTCGTCCAACGCAGTTCTTTTTTCCCCTCATCCTATCGTCTCTCGCGTCGTGATTATTTTCTATTTTTCACTTCCTCCTTTTATTAGCATAATAGTTTTCTGTGCGATGCATTTGAATACACGATGCATAAATTTACTTTCAAGGCCACACATATTCACAATAAATCTGTTCAATTTTGTAGATAATATGCGCCAAAAATTATTCCGCGAAATACAAGCATACAAGCGCAATTGAATTGCCAGTGTAAAGAATTCCAATAATTTACATGTTTTCTACCATTTTATGTAGAAAAAAAATGATATTCCTTTCATATGTTCGTAACGCGTCAAACACGCAATCCGCTACCATTAATGAGCTTTTAAAAAAAAAACAGGTGCGAGAGCTCGATTAAAAATGCACGTCTAAATGTAACATTCATGCATGTTAATCTTTTCGGATTCGTATTTTTATTTATCAACGGGATAGGATCAATTATATAGAAATACGTTAAACTTTTTGTTGCAGCTGCAATGCAGTTTGAGATTTACCCTCGAAGTACCTCGAATTTCATAATAGGAGACTGCAATTGCCCGGCCATATTGTTTATCCGCGATCAAACAAAGTTACTATGCGCGATGCGCACCTTAAAGTGCACAGTCGACTATAGATAACGTTATCGCAGCATTTTACCAACTACTGACTTGCGTTACAAGTTACAACGCGCGGCGTAGAGCCGAGGTGCATTTAAGGAGGTTTCGAGGTCGTCTCCTCGTTTTCGAAAAGCATCGTTGATAACGGTCAGCCGATGTTCCAAGTAAAGCCGATGCAAAGTCGAATCGCGCGCGGCAGGCATCGACAGAAAAGATTACGCAGAAGCCACTTGTTGTGAAACGAGAGTGCGACCGTACGCTCAATGTTTTATGTAAATACGGCGGCGTCTCTCGCGGGTGCAGCTCCTGTTACACAACTACGGATTGAGTTTATTCTATATAAGAAACGACCGGATTACTCATTCACTCCGCTCGTAGTAAACTCGCGTCTGTATACACCGAAACAGACTGACATAACGTTTGTCGTGGTTGAATTCCGAGGTCGTTCAATGATATCATTGATGCCGTCACCGCGCGTTTACCATTTCGAGTATATTTATGTTCGCCTCATATTCCATTGCCTCTCTTATACAACTCGAAACTTATGAATCCGTACGCGAGAAAAGTACATTCGATATACCAAATATTGATATCCATCGATACCCGCGAGAGAAGTCAAAATAAAACGTACGCACAAAAGTTATAGCGTTGACGTTTCACAATGTCTCGTTTATCAAGTGTGACTTCTGCTGTATCGTCCAGGAAGACCGAAGTGATAATATGTGTTTGCGTAGCTGATTTTGGAGACGAAACTTATGTAAAACATATTACGCGTCGCGCATACACTTTAATCTCTTCAATCGTATTCTAGCGAGTGACGCATATACTTATGAAGTGGATTGTCGTATTACGTTTATCAATATGAGATATACAACTTCTTTTCATCGCTATACTATATAATGATCGATGCCACATATTTTTAACTTATTATGTAACCGCGTTTATGAAACGCAGCATTTAAAAAAATTATGGAAAATGAAATGTGCCACTTTCAGCTCCACCTCCACTGTTGCACACATAAAAACGTTAAGCTAGCGCCACACTATGCGCGATTCGTGAACAGTGCGGAGGAAAAATTCGCCATTCGCAGCGATTCGCTAGCCGAGCGGTTTTTCGACGAAAACAGTGGCTTTTCGGCTAATATTGAAACTCGACCAATTGTAGACTTACGATGCAAGTCCCGTGACAACCGGCAAAGATTACAAGTTGTCCAAGTTAACACGAACGAAACGACAGATAAAAATTTACGAATGGTAAACTGCGAATCACGAATAGTGTGGTCGGTAATAACGAATGTCCAACGAATTTCTGCAAATCACGAATCGCGCATAGTACGGGACTAGCATTAGAGAATGAGACGAATATATAAATTCTAATCGAGATATATTCCATTTCGTTAGATTTAGCTTTCGATGCGACAGACACGTAGAACGATCTTTGCTCACGATGATCAGCACAAAGTATAATTCTTCGTATCGACAGCATCGATTAAACTCAGCTCATTCAAAACCAGTCCCAGGGCCATATTCTGAATCCTCTTTTATCGATAGAAGCGCCCACAAAAGATCCTTTCAGCCAATAAGAATCCTTCAAAATGGATTCTAGTGACACCTTCAGCGATAAAAGAGGAGATTCGGAGTTTGGACCTTTAATGTTTTTTAACAGCATTGCAATAACGACCGTCTTACCGAAGTACACAGGCTTGTCGCACTTTGGACAATTCGGCATTTTGTTACGTTGTGCAAAACCGGCTTCTCGCCCGACGAGGCTGTACGTGTTAACAGAAGGATGCTTTCAGCGGCGTGGTCAGACGCGTACTGGCCCTGAGAGCCCGGCAAGGTAACGCAACGCTCTCCAGTTGATTGAGCGTGTGAACGTGTGTTAAGGCTAACGGCTGCACGAATACACGGCGAGGGATCACGGGCCGCGTGTGTTTAAGCGTCGGGCAAACGTTACCTGTCATTATGCAATCTCGTGTGCGAGCATGTACGTGTGTCTGCATGCACGTGGATGCACTTTCGTTGTGGATTTTTTTTACTTAACTAAAGGCAACTTTGCTTGTAGTAAATATCGAAACGTGAATAACTTTGACCGGAGATTTACGGAGAAAAATTCTAAAGTGATAAAAATCAGTAAGAAAAAAAAGAAGAAAATCAAATAAAAGAAAGCAAACGAAGTGAAGAATTCAGGACACCTTGCGTAGATCTTCGAGCAGTAACGGACGCAGGCTCGAAGTCGGCTTCGTTCAACGCGTTCCTTTACTTTCTTCGGTCACGCCGGAATAATCCCGTTAGCCATTGTGAACAAATTCGTTATCAGAACTGCGCGACGCAACGAGATTCACGAGTATCCAGATCGATAGTTTGATTATGCGCGAATAACGGAGCTGTTCGAAGTATCGGGCAACGGAATGCACTCGCTTCGAAGGTATTTACTCATAAAACTGCAACGCGATACCCGCAAAATTAATTAATTATCGGAATTTGGGTCGGGGAGCTGCGCCGCGCAGCGTCAGAACGTAACCGGAGGGCGATGTGGGAAATGCCGCTGCAAATTTTGGAATTTATTTTAACGAGATTATACAAATATCCGGTCGAAAGAATTATTCGCTGCCGTCCAAAAATTCAACTGCAGTCTTTACTTTCCGTCATATGCGTACGGACACATGTGTACAGACACTCTAACCAACCGCTTTTTATTTGGCAATAGCCGAACAGAATTCCGAAAATTTATATAATTATATGCCAACTAGTTATTTACAAGCTACGAAATTTTATTTTAATATCACATTAAATATTTCACTGGCAAACGTCAATAGCTTTGATCGATGTGAATTAACAGATTTTAATTGGCGCTAAAATCGTATCAAAGTAAAGAACGCTATCGTATCCCTTACGCGCCACATCCGGCTGATAACGATTAGGTGTTCTCGTTAATTGCACGCATTGTGCGTCAGTTTCTTACGAGCATTAGAGGCCCGTGGGTCGAGCAATTTGTGCCGCTAACGCAAAAAAAAAGAAAACGGAAAGAAAAGTCGTGATGCAGGAATACGATCCGGATCACATCGCGCTCGTATCAGCGATCGAAAACGGAGAGTTCGACGAGGCGGGTAAAATTTTGGCGCGCGATAGCAAAAATAGATATGTGCGTCCGGTGGGCGCTCTTCAAGTGACAGCCCTGCAGATGGCTGGCTGGCAGGGGAACATAGATCTGTTGAATCGACTCTACGAAAAAGGCGCCGACATAAACGGCACGGATAAAATTGGTAGATGCGCTCTTTACTACGCGGCACACAACGGTAATACTGACGTGACAAAGTGGCTTCTTCAACGCGGTGGTCACGTCGATGTCAAAGTCGGTATCTACTCGTGCACCAAGGGCACCCCTTTCTCCACGCTGACGAAATCTTATCTCGTAGGAAGAAAAGTTTGTACCGCGGGAATAGCTCGCCAATTTTTACCGATTCCAGGTAAAAGAGACAAACATTACGCTCCTTCTTTCCCGTTTAGTTGCCGGTGCCCGCGTGCTGGGGAAGAACGCCGTTGCATCAGGCGGTAAAAAATAATCACGCGGACGTCGTGCGCGTTTTGGTGGAAGGCGGTGCGGATGCGAACGTTAAAGACGAGCGCTTGATTACCCCGCTGCTGTTGGCAGGAAGCGCGGTGAATCGCGATGATCTCAATGAGATGACTAAGTTCGTTGAGATCGTGGGGATACTGGTCGCCGCGAAGGTGTTCGTTAACACTATTCATCCGGACACGGGTATTAGTCAATCAATCGAGCGTTACGCAATACCGATAGAACCGCGCTACGCCATCGTCGTTATTTAAAAGAAGTCTTAAAAATGTCACCTAAGTACACACGCCTTTATTGGCCATTTCCCTCAAGCCTTAAGCTTTACCGCTCAAGTTTTCGAGCCTTAAAACAATATAAATATAGTCACGCTCAATTCTGCTAGGTACCACCGCTTTGCACCACGCGGCGATGCTAGGCAGTGCAGAAGCGACAAAGATATTGCTGTCAAATGGCGCATGGCCGATGTATAAATGCAAGAGCTCCGGAAGCACGCCTCTTCATATCGCCGCGAGTACAGGGAGTATCGAGACACTCATGGTTCTACTTGATGCAATGCAATGTCATAACATTGATACGTGCGATCAGGTTAGCTACATTGAACGCTGCAATTGAAAGGCTAACAGGCGAAGTTACAAGACGAGATTGTATTATTACTTTCTACATATTATTTCTTGTTTTCTGTACAATCCGTTTAGATCAATCGTACGGCTCTTCACAGAGCGTCTTATCAGGGACATCGCGAGTGCGTACGAACTTTGATCAATCACGGAGCTAATTTAGCCGCCGTAACGAAGACTGGTGTCACCGTTGTTGATGCTGTATTCGCTCATATATCGCGACCATTGGCGTTTTTAACCGATATTTTGGATTCTTGCGTACGATCGAGCAATAATTCACCTTCGGAGAAATACGAGAATGTAAGGATCGCTTTACGTATCCCGTTAGACTCTTAACTGCAGATACAGATATCCTTCTCTCTTATTCGATTCTTACTATGTTGTCTTTATTACATTCTAATGAATGAAACATCTCTGTTAAAGATTACTGTTGACTTCAGTATATTGGCTCCAAAGCACCAGATGCAAATGGCAGTAGTTACGGCCGTTATAGCCGCAGCTTCAGATATAAGACAACTGGCGATATTGCAGCATCCACTCGTGGAGACGTTTCTCAGACTAAAGTGGACGAGATTAAGGATACTTTTCTTTCTTCTTATAGTCGTACACTTGTTCTTCGTCGTTTCCCTGTCGGTCTACGCCATAATGTTCGCGCATAACGAAACTGACCACGTGGTGACTCGAAGAATCCTAGCCATCTGCTCCTGCATTCTTTTGTTTCACAATATGGTTCAAGTTATATTAGAACCCAAGTAAACACGCATCCGAGTAATGAAAATTTGAACTGATTCATACTTCGATTCGTACACTACCAAACATTTCAGGCATTATTTGAGACAACTCGAGACGTGGTTGTCACTCACGTGCGCCGTGCTATCCTTGGTGACGTCGATCGCAGGTGAATTTGTAAGGTGCTCGAGGGAAGAAACTGAGTCTCAACATTGCGTGCACTGGGTGCTACATTCCATCAGTATCGCAATCTTGTTGAGTTGGATGCAAATGATGTTACTAATTGGCCGGGTCCCAATGTGGGGATATTACGCGCTCATGTTTTCCACGGTGCTGAAGAACATCCTAAGGGTTAGCCTGTTTTACAAGTAATTAACGCACTGTTGTTTTTCTCAGTGCGAGCTATCACTACGATTTATGCACCCTACAAAAGTTCAACGACGAAAAAAAAAAATTGAAAATGTAATTAGCACCTCGAAATTCTCCGTCGTAAATCCATTTTCCTTTCGCGTCGTCGCGCTATTTATACAAGCGGAAACTTTCGCGACGAGAGTAGCTCAAACATCGCGATTATCTTTGTGCATAATTATCGACCTCAAGGTTTCATCGCTCGGATTGGCGATCCTCGCGCTTCCTATGACGAATTCTTTAACCGCAAACGTGACTATAAATAATTATCAGAGAAACGAGAATCCGGGACTTCAAATATCGCGTCGATGACATCAGAATCCGTCTCACGCGCACTCTTGCTACTAGAACGACGTACATTCCGAGGTTTCCACAGGGGAGGGTGAGAGAGGGCATTTGTCCCCCTCCTGGAATCAGCAAAAAATTAAACCTTTGCTCTTCTTTTGACGAAGAAAAGATATTTATGCGCCAAATGGTGTAAATTTGAATTTACAAGTATTTTAATTTTAAAGTTTGACCCCCCCCCCCCCCCGCCCCCCAGGAACATTTTCAATCATGCCCAGCACTTTTTATTTTCTTTTAGGTTCTCCTAGCGTTTGGCTACCTCATTGTTGGATTCGCGTTGAGTTTCGCAGTTTTGTTTCATGGAAATGATCAATTTCGCGATTTCTGGAGGGCTATCGTAAGGACTGTAGTGATGATGATGGGCGAGTACGAATACGAGGAGCTATTCAACGCCGAGAACGGCAAGGGTACTTTTCTGCCAATCACAAGCAGAATCGTGTTCCTCGTTTTCACCATGCTCGCCAGTATTGTTCTGATTAATCTCATGATCGGTCTGGCGGTCAACGACATTCAAGGTCTCGAGAAGGAGGTAGGATACTTGAATATTTAGAGATCGAACTCCTCGGAGTCTCATATCAATTAATATGGGATGTCTATTACAATTGCTAGTACAATAGATCGATAGGCAAATTAATTAATATCGCGTGTCAGCTCCCATTGCTCCCCCATACCTCAATTATTCTAATTATCCACTTATATTACTTGAATTACTTTTTTTTGCGGAGCATATTAATGCTGTATGTTTTTTTTAATATTGTTGATTTAGGGCCACATTCGTCGATTACTGAAACAAGCGGAATTTGTCGCACATTTAGAGAGGGTGACGTCATACAGAATCTTTCGCAGCAATTGGCTACATCCTCGCTTAAGAATGCTGCTGCACTCAAGGCGCGATATTCCCACAAAAATTACGCTGGTCTCTCGTGAAAATAATTTTCATCACATGACTCATCTTACGGAATCGCCTCCCAAGATTCCCGCCGATTTAATAGAAGCTTTGTTTTTGTTAGCCACCAAGACTTTGAAGAACGATAAGTATGTATCATATATAATACAATTTGTACTTGTAGCATTAAAATTGAAATTATATTCAACGTAGCGTTGTGTTATTTTTTTAGTTTGGCGGACAAACACATAGAAACTGGCGACATGAAGATAACTTCTATACTGTCCAATTTGGAAGAACAAATTCGAGAGTTGAAAATATACTGTCATCGTAATTTGGCGACTCGGAGCTCGTCGAAACGACGGGGATTCAAAAGAAAACCTGTTCAAAAGAGATTTGTAAACGCTTAGTATATTGCACGTACGCGCGACATTGCGATTATTTTTCAATACGGTAAACGCGGTGTTAGTTTAGCGGTAGCATTTATTACAATCATTAAATAAAGCGCCAAAGAAACTTTTACATTATCTCATTGGTCCTGTATAATATTTAGAAAGCTAGAAACGATAAAACGCGCGCACCGCGCGCGCAGTTTGTGGTCGAGCATTGTATATTTTTAAGAATTTGTATACACGCGAAGAAGTAATTGTATGCGCAACGTCAATTTAAAATAAAAAGTAATTTGTCACTCACTGATACGGTTCGCAACAGCAAAGTTGTACATCGCTAACTATACATGTTAAACTGTAACAATACAAAAATGTATACGATTATTATAGACTAATTATGTAAAATCCAGACTATTGTGTTAAATATACTTTATATTTAATATTTTTGAAAATGGGTATTTATTAAAACAATTATATAAAATACTGAAAGTCTTCCTTTTAAATATGAACTCACAAAATTTTATACGTATGGTTTTGTCTCTAACACTTATTCGAATCCACGTTCGAATCATTTGAATAAATAAAATAAAAGCACAGAACAGATGCTTTATTTTGCACAATTAGCAAATAACAAAAATGTAAGACACTTACCTTACGATTTCTCTGCCGTTGCCCGATGCCGCCTAAGCCTGCTCCTCCTCTCAGAGAGAGGTTTCTTGTTGCACTTACACTCACACACTCACTCGCGAAATTTCGGACACTCCCGTACGCGATGTAAAATACCGTGAAATGCAGTAAGCGACGTTCTTTACTTCCTGTCCGTTCGAGTTGCGAAGAACGACAGAGCGAATTACAGCGCGAACGCCGAAGTCGCACAAATATCTCTCTCTTCCCGAAAATGGAACAGATTACACGAAATCGATAGATAGTTAAAAGCGCGGTGCGTAAACGAGATGTAACCGCGACAACGTACCACGGTTTACTTTTATATTTTAGATGAGTTAATCTCGTAAAATATCCATGTACACGTTAATAAAGAGCCGTCGCCTCGTTACTGATAAAGGAGTCCAAATCAATAGCGTTTTATCCTTACATTCTTCACGATCGAGTCTTGGAAACCGACAACGCAAAAACAATATCACGCACGGAGCGACTCGCGCCACTGCTTGTCGGCTCGACGTTCGGCGAGCGAATGATAGCGCGGCGACCTTCAGGTACACGCAAAAACATCGTACGTCACCGCGCCGAGTGAAAAACAACAAAAAAACGTTGAGAA